AATATTTGTCATGTAATCCTTTTTGAAGCTGCTCTATCGGCGTTTGGGTTTGCTTGAACTTTAGTTTGAATAGTAAGGCTATCACTTAGATGTATGCACGTTTGATTATGAGTTGTTAAGGTCTGGTCCCGTCACACTCGTCGCAAGTAGAGGTGGTTCAGCGGGACCGCCAGAGTCTCGGTCTAGACAAGGCGGGACCGCTATTCAATTTAAACTGAAGTCTGGGCCAGTTGCAGTTACGACGAGCAAAGGCTTGCCCTGTAGAAGGCAGCGAGGAATCAGTCCTAGATTTGCTTCTCTGTCACTCCCAGAAGGCACAACCGGCACTACCCTACAAAGTGAACAGCAAGATGTCAGCACTGCTCGTGAGGAAGAGAACATTACTAGCAGTTCATACAGCCAGCAACAGAAGAGTGCCTTACGGAAGCTAGATGAAGTGCTAACGACGCCAACACAACCACGAAGTCAGTCCGCAACAGGTTCCGCATTTGGTTCAGGAACAGTCGGAAGTGAGACCTCATCAAGGCGTTCAAAGCGATCTTCTCGATCCAGAAAAAGTCGCCGAAGTTATCGTCAGCCCAAAGGCAGGCGCAGTGCTAGACGAAGTAATAGAAGTAGAGGAAGAGCCAGATCAAAAAGTTCGAAAAGATTGGCGTCAGCGTTTAGTCGAAAATCATATCGTGGGAAATCGCGCAGGAGAAGGTTTGTAATTTTTACATCAATTGTTCTTTCCTTAGCTAAATCTCTCTATGTACATTCGAGATTTCAACAGATTTGAATATCTTTACTCTTGTTTAGCAAAGCAAGACGTTCTCGATCGAAACGCAAATCATCAAAGCGATCGAAGAAGCCTAAAAAGGTGACGATTTCAGATATTTTAATTTTTAAATTATAAGTCGGAAAATCCACGCGCTATATCTCAAGAAAGAAGCTTAACGGGAACTTTTCCAATCATCTGCGCAATTGCTGTTCCATAGCAAATGATCTTTGTCTTTGCAATATAAAGCATTTCATGTGTTCTTGAATCTTTCCAATGCTTCGTTCTGAAGAG